CCTTCCTGTCTTCCACGTCCTCTGAAGTTTGCTCAATTTCATGTTCGTTGCATCTATGACACTGTCTAACCATCTCATCCTTTGCCGTCCCCGTCTTCTTTGACCTTCAATCTTTCCCAGCATCAGGGTCTTCTCCAGTGAGTGCTCCCTTCTCATTTGGTGGCCAAAGTATTTGAGCTTCAGTTTCATTATCTGGCCTTCCAGGGAACAGTCAGGGTTGATTTCTTTTAGGATGGACTGATTTGATCTTCTTGCAGTCCAAGGGACTCTCAAGAGTCTTCTCCAGCACCATAGTTCAAAAGAATCTATTCTTTGGCGCTCTGCCTTCCTTATAGTCCCAACTCTCGCAGCCATACGTGACTACTGGGAATACCATTGCTTTGACCATGCAGACTTTTGTTGGCAGGGTTACTTATTGCATTGTTTTATCCAGCCCTGCAGGAAATGGGGATGATATAGCAATCATTATAGTCGATTTCCGAGGATTGCAGGATTCAATTGACAGGTTAAAGTTTTAGTTGGTGTTCCTTTAAGGAAGCCGTTTTGTGTCTGGTCAAATACGGATGCCAGCCTCCAAGTGGGACCTTGGAGATCCCCTGAAATTACACCTCCAGACTACAGAGATCGGTTCCCCTGGAGAAAAGGGATGTTCTGGAGGATGGGCTTTGGGCCATTGTACCCCACTGAGATCCCTGTCCTCCCCAGGCTCCACCCCCAAATCTCCAGGCGTTTCCCAACCTGAATCTGGCAACCCTACCTCCCCCCCATCTCCTGTCGGTGGCCGGGGGGGACCAGGCAACCCTCTGGTGTGTTTCTGTAATAACTAATGAAAATGTGGTTGCCAGTCTCTAGGTGGGGCCTGGAGATCTGCTGGTATTACAACCAGTGTTCCCTCTAAGCTGAGTTAGCATGAGCTGGGCATGAGTTTTTTAGCCTCCAGCTCATAGTTTTTTGTTAGCATGAGTTTTTTAGCCTCCAGCTCATAGTTTTTTGTCTTCACTCAGGAAGGAGGGCTCCAGGGCAAACTAATTTATGCAGCAGCCAAATCGCTTGCTCATAACTTTAGTGCCAGTAGCTCACAAAGTAGAATTTTTGCTCACAAGACTCCACAGCTTAGAGGGATCATTGATTACAACGGATCTCCAGAGATCGGTTCCCCAGAAGAAAATGTTTACTTTGGGGGGTGTATTCTAGGCTATTGTACCCTGCTGAGCTCCGTCCCCTCCCCCAACCCTGCCCTCCTCAGGTTCCACCCCCAAAATCTCCAGGAATTTCCCAACCCACAGTTGGCAAACCTAAATAAAAATGATAATTTAAAACTGATTTCCTTCAGTATCCTCAAAACATCACCTACATAGCCAGGTTTTACTAATATTAAAACACAATTTATTGGTTACAAGCTGGGTGGTCTGTTCATTAAAACAGTATAATTGGTGCGTGGCCCTAATAATAATTCTGACGCTTTAAAATTGCATTATAATGACAATATATGACCATCAGTGCTTAGCGATTGCATTTTCTGTGAAAATAGATTCAGGTGGGGCAGCCGTGTTGGTCTGAAGCAGCAGAACAAAGTTTGCGTCCCCTGGGCACCTCTAAGACCAACAAAGTTTTATTCTGGGTCTAAGCTTTCATGTGCCCACTCATACCCAGAACATTCTGCATTTTCTGTGTTACTCTCCATGTAGATTTTTTTTTTAAGATCTAG